TTGCTGCACCTACTTTTCCCAGAACAATATGCCCCAGCTGGATGGGTCCCAATTCCCATCAACTCGGGAGGGAGTTATACAACAAAACCAGCGGACCGAGTTAGACCCGAGGGTTGTGCCACGCTCCACTGCGAGTACTGAAACCTCTTCGGGGGCGAAAAACTCTGGAAATGGAGAAGCTGTGGCTGCAACTACGAACAAAGGAGCTATCACTGAAGCTCGCAAACGCTCTTTTCGACAGGCTAGACGACGTGCAGAGGACAAAGGAGCCACGTGGTACCGTGGTGCTTGGCGGTCAGCCAGGTCACTTGGAACGGCTCAGCGCGAGCCGGAAGGGACTATTGCACGATCGACGCCTGCAGCGCACAGTGTCTTGTCAGGAACTCCAGGACATCCTCAGACACGACTTAAGGTCTTGGACTGGATCCTTCCAGTTACGATGTCTTTTGTACTTGGCTTAAGGCACAGAAGGACGCAGACATAGTGCTGGCACAGGAATTGCACTGGGGTTGTGGTCGCGAAGAGGGCAGCTGGCGGATAGGTGACTGGTATGCCATTGTTTGTCCGGATAGCAAGCATCGCTATTGTGGTGTTGGAGTTTTTATCTCCTCGCGCGTAGCGCAACCGGATCAGGTCGCTTACAAAACGGTTATTCCAGGACGTCTCTTGCACGCCAGATGCACCACTCGACTGCTGACCATGGACATCGTCGCAGGCTATCAATGGGTCTGGCAAGAGCAGACTAAGGAGGCGGTAGCCCAGAACAGACATCGCTTCTGGACGCAGCTTGGACGACTCCTGCACACTTTCCCTGTTCGTAACCTACTTGTTATGGGCTGTGACTTGAACACAGGCCTGAGGCCAATACCGGGTTTAATTGGCCGTGGTCTCCTCAAGCATAACAAGAAACCTGACGAGGAATTTGAGGCCCTGGTGCAGGCACACAGCCTTGTCTTGCTTAATACATGGTCCCGAGCCTCCCCGAATGGATGCCATACCTTTGCTAACCATAGTACCAAGACGCAACTGGACTTCGTGCTTACCAGACGGCTCACGGTTGATGGTGCGTCAAGACTGGCGCGTCCCGTTGCGCTGGATCTCATGCCCTGGAGGCTGGGGCCTAAACACAGGCCGGTCCTTGCCAGCCTTCCATGGGTAGCGGGTTGGACACGAGCCAAGAAGCCGGCCTCTGCAGGACAGTGCTCTATGCGACACCTGAGGGCTGCAGCGTGCACGAATGGGCCGGAAGCACTGGCTCTTGCGAGCATGATTCGCACTGCACTGTCGAACCCCGACGTTGCCATAGCCGACCTCAACAAGCAAGTCCTGCATAAGTGTAAGCCCCTTTTCCCCAGTAAGCCTAAACCCTCGAGTCGACCGGGTGACGACCCTAAAGTTCCGGGATGCATTGCCGAAATGTGGAAGCAACATAGACTCCTTAAGGAACTTGGGTCCCATTCGAGTACACGTGGCACGACAGGGCTCTGGCAACGTCATGCACGGTTCAAGGCCAGTGTCAAGTGCCTCCAACAGGCCAGTCGCTGGGCCAGGAAAAAACATCTTGAAGTGCTGATACAGGAAGCGGAGCTGGCCTCTCAGAGGCATGATCAAGCTGAGCTCTATCGGGTAATCAACCAAATAGCCCCGAAGAAGCGGCGCGATACTGTTAGGGTCAGGGACTCTGAAGGCAGGTTGTTGAACAAGTCTCAGGAGTTTGATGCTATTTTCAAGTACTTCAGTGAAGCTTTCACCCGAAAGGAAACTTTCTGCCGTGCCGCTCTACAGCCGCTAGACATCCAACCGACGGAGATTGTGGAAGCCATAGCTAAACTCAAACATGGCAAAGCCGTTCCGGAGGGAAGTCTTCCAGCTGAAATGTGGCAGTTATGCGCCCCAGAGCTTTCCTGCTTCCTCGCGAGGACCCTGGAGGATAGCATCCAGAACAATCAGCTCCCTGCTGAAACGGTAGACTGCGCCCTAAGCCTCCTGCCCAAACCTGGAAAGCCCACTAGGCAGGCCGAGGACCTCCGGCCGCTTGGACTTCAAGATCCAAGCGCAATGATCATGGCCGTTGTCCTGCGCACCAGATTGACATAGTTCAGGACAGATTGCACTCAATCCCTCAGTACGCTTACTGTCCCAACAAATCAATCGATCAAGCAATCTGCCGCGTGGCACGCCATTGCAAGCGGATCCGGGAAGCGGTCAAACACAGTACGCTTAGTGTTCATGATAAAAGGGATGGGGTTCAACCTTCTGAGTGTAAGGGAGGAATCATGGTTAGCTTGGACTTAAGCCGCGCTTTTGATTTGCTTGGCCGAGAGGCGCTTGACAGATCGTTGTGTGCGGCGCACGTGCCACCGGACCTTCGGGCTGCTATAATTGCCATTCACGAGTCATGTTATTATACTGTCAAACATGGCCCCAGAAGCGATCGCTTCTCCCTAGAGGTGGGAGTAAGACAGGGCTGTACCCTTAGCCCCCTGCTCTATGCCCTCTACACTGCGTGGCTCTACGAGCAATTGGCAGCCGAAACCAGCGAGGCTTGGGCCAAGGAGTGCCTAACGGTATTCGCAGAAGATAAGCATTTGTCCTGGGACATCAACAGCATCGCAGATCTGGCCTTCGTATGCAAATGTGTCCAGACAACATATCGTCTGCTCAAAAGCAGCGGAATGCAAGTAAATCCCGAAAAATCCAAGATTGTCATTGCACTCCGTGGCAGCGCTGCCATCAGGTGGTTGCGCAAACACACGCACCGCACGCCAGATGGCGTCTTTATAGACTTAGGCACGCCGCATATGCCGCTGAGGATCCAACAGGTGCAACAGCTGGTTTATCTAGGGGTGGTTGCTAGCTACACTGGGTTTGAGCTTCAAGCACTTAGACATCGGCAGAAGGCAGCTGCGCAAAACAGGCAGAGGCTTCTTAAGTTTCTTCACTCCAAGATCCTCAGCCTTAGACAGCGCACCCGTCTGTATCGTGCTTGTGTCGTCAGCTCGCTTCTTTACGGCCTGCATGCAGTTGGAGTCACCACGCAGATGCTCCGGGATATCGAAGCCTCAGACTCCAGAGCTCTGAGAGCTATTGCCCGTTCCCCAGCACATCTATACCATGAGTCCACCGTGAAGTTGCGTCAGCGACTGCAAGTGGAGTCTCCAACTGCCATCCTGTGCAAGCTGTTGAAAAAGCGCTGCCGTGTCTGCGCCGATCACGAACATCGGCAGTGGTTTCAGGAACAGCTGGACTTCCTAGAGCATAGTCCCTCGGATGCCCTGCCCACCCCCGAAGTACACCTTGCACCTGACGGATTTCCGGGAGTTCCCTGCCCAGATTGTGGAATGGTCTTTGTCAACCGTAGGCACATGCTCTCCCACCAGGCCAGGCGACATAAGCCCGAACCTGACCCGAATGCCCCGACACCAGCTGCTCCTGGACGTCCCATCGCGTGGTACATGCAACATGCAGTTCAAGGGATGCCTCACTGTCGGCACTGCAATAAGAAGTTCACTAGGTTGGAGGGATTCAAAAAGCATCTTAAACAGGCGTGCAATGTCTTGCATGGTGGCCAGATGCCAGTGCAGTCAGTACTGGATGCATCCCACGCGGGTAGCACCACTGAGGCAGTGGTCAAGCACTGCCCAGGAGGAGTCCCAAGGGCTCAGGAACCCGAGCTTCCTCGCAACTGCACGACCCAGAATCGGAGACCAGCCTCGCCAGTCTTGTTGAGGATCCTGTTTTTCGAGCACAGTCAATGAGTAGCTGGCAAAGTGTGCTTGGAGAATCTGCTTACTGTGCGAGGCTTAGTAACTTCTGTGTACTCTGCGGACAATGGGTTGCGAGAACTGGGTGTAAACAACATATGCGTCTGAGCCATCCTGAAACGCATGCACTGCATCAGCCTGCAACCGGCACGCAGCTGGGTTTGGTTGCCTCGAGCCCTTGTAGATACTGCGGGTTCCTTGAAAGCTGCCTGCCCGACACTTAGCAGCATGCCAGGCGGTCTACCAGGCATCCCTTGTGCAGCTCTACTTCAAATCCCAGTCCCAGCCTACTTCTGAGGTCACCCGCACCGCTGATCATGGCAGAGGAAGATCGCGCAGCCCTTGCCCAACAGGAGCTGAACATCCTGGGCATCAGTGGCAAGAGTGGAAGCCAGGGCCCGAAGGCCATGGATCAGGAGCCGGCGGCTTTTTCCAGCGAGAAGTGGACAGAGAAGGAGTGGGATCAGCGCCGCTCCCGAAAGTGGCCTCGGCAGGAGTCAAAGGGGACAGGACGATCCTACGATTCCTGGGGATCGCACGGCAAAAGGCAGCGCCCCGAGACGTCGCAGGGCAGCGGAACGCTGGACAAGCAGACGCGAGTACTGCTACAACTCATGACCCGCATGACCCTCCGGCACGAGCACGAATTGTGCCGTCTTCGGACGGAGACAAGTTTCGTTATGTTCTGCGACACGGCGGAACACGGGATACTCCCCGCTTCGGGCCACTGCGGAGAACTGGCAGACGCAGTACATCAACAATGCTGTGAACACCTCCCTCAAGGTCATCATGATGATGTCATGGTCCCGGCTTCTCCGCGAGCAATTGGACCGGGTACTCTCGGAAGAGGAACTGGTGGGCAAATACAAGGAGCTGGGCTGGATGGTGGACGGAGAAAACGCCCTCTCTCCGTGCTGGAATTACTTGGAGTGGAACAGCGCAGAGAAAAAAGAGCAAGTCTCCAAGGCCGTCCCCTGCAAGCACCAGGATGTCCTCGCAGTGCTTGACAAGATCGATGCCTACGTTCCCCG